GATCACATTCAATTTAGTAATAAATTTATAAACTGCAAAATAATGAGCCTTAAATAAATCAGTAACTACAGGAACGGCAAAAATAATATTTCTCAAAATATGTCACATTCAATCCTTCGCCATTACCAAAAACTACACTAAACTGGAAAGGTCCAGTGCGCTGAACATCACGTGCCTGATCGTTAGAGAGCTGACTGGTGTCTTCTACGAAACCTCGAAACAGCTTCGACGAAGAGACGTTAGCAAACCAGTCCAGCGACGAGATCCATGGAGACAGTGAAAACGAGGTCATGCGAGGACTGAAGGAGCGTCGTCGCGTCCGCAATCAAGAAGCAACAACCAGGCAGTTGTGATCGAACGGTTGCCTAATGGCACGAAACCGTCAAGCCGATGCAAACGTCAACAACGAGCACAACAGAAAGATGCCATCTTTACCAACACCGGTAGTGTTAGAGAGCACATTTTTGCATAGTGTTCGAATTAAACCTAATGCTAATATCGCCCTTCAGTAGTAATGACAATCAGCGCACGAATGCATGATCCTCTGGGAACTAATTAGTCCACGACGCTCATTAAATAAGCAGACAGACACCCCCATCATTCCAATTCGCCACCTGTATTTTATCATGTCCACATATCTTCTCGAATCAAAGTTGTCAGATCATGTTCTAACGTAAAGTTTCAAAACAAAATAGAATACTAGGTACGGTGCTTGTGACTCACACGCCTGTTTAAACTTTTCCTATAATAGCCGAATCCGTAGAAAAAAGAAAGTACTCATATTCTGGAGCAACTAACCTCGTCGGTATAACATGCACCTCGTAATAAACAAAATACTTTTACTACTGAAATAGCCAGTGTAAAAATAGAATAAATGATGATAAACTATGTGAAAATGGTGGCAAACAGGCAGTTTCAAAATGTAATGATAGCAACAGTTAAGCACTGGTTACATAATGGTTTACACGGCGTAAAATACCCAACCGAAGCGTTGCTGAAACTACACTTTCAGCAGAGAAAATGTTAACTCTTTAATAATTATTTTTCGTAAGTTTTCCGTTATCAGTGATCTTTGAATCCTTACTGCTAAAATCAAAAATGAATTCTAAACCAACGACGAGTTGCAACTGCAGGAAGTTGTGCTTGTCAATAGAAGTATTGTCGACAATCAGCAAGCCAACGTCCCCAAAAATTATGACCCTTACATCAGACTTAATCTGATCAAATTGGTTTTTGTTAATTTAGGGGAAGACACTCAGGAAATGTCTCCTGACACCTCTATCGTATTTTAGCACCTGCAGTGCACTGGTTCAAAACAGGACCACTTTGCTGGGTCGGAAAAATATTCAGACACCAACGGATGCATACATCTATCTATAAGCATATATAATTAACAAACCCCGTAATTATGGGCTAGCATAAAAACCGCTAGTTTCTGATGCCTCCGTAATGAAAACAATTTCCATCACTTCTCCGGACTCCATGGCACGGTCGCACCGTTCTTTTGCTTGTTTCTAGTAGCCCAGGAAATCGGTTAAGTAGGCTCCTGAGAAAATGCATTGGTAGATATGAACAGTTCACAATGCAACCACTGATGTCAAAGAAACAATGATAATATTTATCAGCGCACTTCCTTACTTCTGGCAATGCGCGAATAACGTTTTCTTCTGATGGCTGCGAAACAACGGACAAACTGCCGTCGATACCGTCTACGGATATTGAAGGTGTCTGCAGAGTCACAATCGACGAAACGGTCAAATCAGTTACTGCATGTAACGTCTAAAAGGAAACCATTCACAAAAAAATTTACAACGACCGACGGCCCATTCATCAGAACGAAAACCACATACAACTAGTATTAGGACGATATTTTGAAATTTTTTAAACTTAAAACTCAGGTCATTCGGCTGACAAGTCTCTATTTCCTTTCAGTTTACCTTGGCTGACTGTTTCTATTATCACTGAAACCAGTTATGAAAAAAGGTTTAAAGATCGGCAAACACATCAGTGAGATGTAAGGGCATCAGCACAATGTCAAACAACGTGCAATAAAATGATCATGTTTGTTGTATTGGATTTTTATGCCACATGCTTTTAAGAGTCGCAAATTCAATCAGAAAGAAAACATAGGCTTCAATGTAATACGTTGAAACTATCAGTCAAATATCTGAGTCCCCATCGCGCTGGTTTATGATCAACGAGCGATGCCTATTACCGTTTCCCCGCACACGAACATATCTGAGGAGTAACCCAAGAAAAACCCGATATATATAGCTGCAATAGTGAATCATTAAAACACGGAATTTAAATCAAGAAAAGCAAACTGTGGAATATTCAGTATACGATCTATACTTCGCAGGCTCATTATCTGATGTCTCAATTCGTAATCTAATATGCTAATGGTAATCGCTGATCACGTTTAAAGTGTGTGACAGTTGCTTTGGTCTAGCGAATGCTTCCGTCTACTGAATGTAACCAGTAAGTAAGCATTTGTATCTCATGCCAAAAAACCATGTCGGTGGAAAAAATTCGTTTGACTGCTCAATCGTTCGTTTGAATTAATTAAGAGAAGAAAAGAGATATATAAATCTTTGCTCTTACCGCATGAGCTTCCTTTTCATGTCCTGTCACAGTAACGCTGGAGAGTTCAACTGGCAGCGCTTCGGAAACGAACGAAGAAAATCGCGGCAGATTCATGCCTTTAAGCTGGACCACGTCTGGACGGTGTTCAGTGGAAATCTTCTGCGAACGAACAGGTAAAATATAACGTCGGAGGTGCTCGGTAACATCAAGTCGAATTACCTGCAGTGAGTCATCAGATATGCAGCACTTATGCAACAGCAACTGACACTCGTCGAATAACGTTTGGACGCCGTCTGTGGTGCTGAGACGCTCGAGGAATTCGACCAAGCGACAGCGACACTCCGCTACCGCCGCTCGAGCACGAGTCACCATGTCACCGTACAAATAGCAAGACATATTGTCCCTGGACAACTGCGCGCTGAGGTTGCATATAGTCTGCAGCACGCTGTCTTGCAAAGCAACGCATTTCCGGCTGAGATCACTTCTTTGCACAGAAACCGACTGCACATCGCGCATTCTTTCGTACAGTGAAGAAATTTCGCTCTCGAGCCCACAAGGAAGTACTCGCTCAAGACTCCGTAAAGAGGTGATGTCTGATTGAAGCCCTTCAAAACAAGGGCTATAAGTAACAGCCATTCGCAGTAGCTGAACAGCGGAACGACTGTCCTCCAACATCTGACGTTCCACTGAATCCAGAGTACGGGCACATGACCACAACTGCCTCCTGACTGCGATCTGTAACAAAACAGTAAAATGAAATATAAATTATGAATCATTCCATTACGTCAAATTAAAAACACAGTCATTTCCAGGTCTGAACGATAAGAATGCATTCCAAGCAAATAGGGAGGTCCACATGCAGGATGCCTTAGCGGGTAAAATATGGATGTGTGGAAAATGGAGAATGGACAATAAAAGCTTTGAGCCGCACAACTGTCTTCTAAACGTTACGCAGAGAATAGAACATGTTTTAAATTTTATGCACAAAATACGTCGACGAATTTTAAAAGTGAAACAACGCTATATAACGCTGGAACAACATCACCCTGGAACACTGCCGGGGTCATTTCGAAATGGCCCATTTAACGCCTGACGAAAAAAATCAGTGCTGGTCAAACAGCTGTGTTAGCTTGTTGGATGATAATGACTGAAGTTGCTACTCTTGTAGGTTGTGCACAGCAGAATCATAATACTTTTCAATCATTTCATCGTTCGCCAATGGCGAAAACTCTGTGGAATGAATGAAGTAAACGTACCGGAAAGAGAGAGATAAAAATCATTCCAGCTATCAAACCTCGGAATTAAGGACGCTCACTTCTCAAACACCGTTCAACGGATCTAATCGCCGGAATTCACACGACACTGCTGTGCTCAGTAATCCGCGAATGTCTAAAGGCGTCGCTTAAGCAGGACACTGTCATAAAGTATTTGAACGCTAGCAATATTAGATGCAAGTAAATATCTTGTTCACCAATAATAGTATTTCAGAAGGTGCCTCACTTCTGCGTTTATAAAAAGGCAAAAGTGGGTGTGAACGCCAGAATGAGGCACTATAGCACGTAACTCTTGCCATCGTCAGATTTCACAGTGCATAATCCAACCATCTGCAAAGAGCTACTGGGGTGAGCAGTGTACGCAGATCATGGCTTCACATCACTTCAGCATCTGCAACCCTCGAAACATCTCGCTATTACTGTTTTTATGTCTCCGTAACCATTCTAATGAAAGCTCTACTACGTAGTCGATTCATTACCTTAAAAGATGTGCCTGAGATTCTCACTTTAACTCATCCATCTTATCCATTTTCATATTACGACCGTATTACTCACCTTTTACAACGAATTCCTAATATGCTGATTGATGCTTTGCGAACAATATTTTCTAGCTCACAGACGGTCACAATTCGTCGCTGCAGACTTCAGGATATAAAAGCTCAATTTCTACCGCAGCTGGACATGTGACTCACCAATCAGCACACCGAAGCTTCGCTCAATTCCTGGCTCAGAATCAACAACAGTCTCTAAAATTCAGTCGGTAGTTTTTTCACTATGTGGCTTTCGTGAATAATCGATCCACCTTCGCCTTTGCACGTCCTACCTGGTAGTTCAGCTCAATGCATAACGGTGTCTTGCTGGCAATCCCTCCAACGTCGGCGATCAAATTAGTTACAAAAACGATACTACTTTAACCTGAATATTCAGGATAACGATGCACCTGAACAATCCTAATCAATTCAGTTACCACATGCCCCTTTGAAAACGCACATATAACGATGGTTAGGAATATTTATTATTACCTTCAGCTTCATAAGACAGCCATTCAACTTCTCAACCGTATTCGCAACGTCTTCTTTAATCGATGCCGAACGATATGAAATTTCAGTGATACTGTTCTCGATAACGTCATCCAAAGCTGATTTGATTAGTTCAAAATCTTCGAGGAAATCCTGAAATGGCATCAATCGAAAAACACGTCAATCAAGAAACACACTGAAATGTCTCGAAACACAAGAGGCAACGAGACATCGGCAGTCACTCACTGTGCGACAGCTGAAACGCATACGTCATAAAATTCAACAGCAACCAATTACTCTTCAAAGTGCATAGTCCACTGAAGTAGCTGGTTTTCGTGTTAGAAGTAATCGGTATAAATTTTGTATAATCGGTATAAACACACAACACGGATTCGACCGCTTTTACTAATCTTCGTCAAGTACAATGATTTTAACTCTCGAAATGGCAATGATTCTTGAATTCTCTTATATGAGTTCTACGGCTGTCAAACACCCGAAGGTGGACGTCTGATCTGTCATCATCGTTCAATAATCTGATTTAAGTCTCGCATTTTCAGTCTACAAGACCATGATACATACACATGCGCAGATTATCGTTGCAAATTGTGTCAATCTGCAAAGTCATACACAGTGCTACGTCATAGCCGTGTCTCGAACTCTCGATTGTTTGCGTACGTGTTTACGTACAATCTTCATCTTCATCTTCCATCACCGCTTCTCCTTTCGGGTCGCGGTACGTACAATCTCGTTCTTTAAACGTAATTTCTCTCTTAGCAGAAAAACAAATGTTTTATGATTCCATTCATGGAAAAAAACTAACTTATTACGGAGTGAATTCATTAACGTGATTAACTGTTGTGGTCTCTTCAAGCCTGCGTTAAACCTATCCAGATCTGTAACCGTTCCATCCAGCGGTGATTATGGAGTATATCTGAATCTATAGTGTCTCTTTAAAAACCGTTCAGGGATAGTCCTCGTCTCGGTGATGAGATCCAGCGAAAAAGACCAAGTAGTTTGTCAGAAAGTGGCCAGAACCGTTTCTCCTGTATTCCGTTACACTACGGCAGGTTCTTGTGTGAACAGAAAAATTATAAATTCGTTCAGCTATAGTTAGATAATTTGTTGTTAGTAGCTGCATAACATCTCCTTCAAACATAATGCAATATAATTATATCACTTAATTTATCATACAGTACACAGAAAATCAATGAATGAACAGTTTACTGCTTTAAAATGGAATGATAAGCGAATTTAATTTTCAGCCTATATTAGAGATCTTCTCTGTCTGCAACAAACCTTTAGATGCACTCACCGTGCTGCATCGATTTATGCCGTTTTGCGAAGCTCCTTTTAGCGGCGTTAATCTAGGCACATTGCTCACCCTCTGTCGCTTTCCTCTTCTGACTGTTACGATTACAGGTTCAAGTACAACAGTGGCATTTTCTCGAAATATTCCTGTTTTATATCCTGGCTGTCATTAACGAACGCATATTCGACAGAACCTCGTCATAATATTAAATTGTTTTCATCCTCTCTTGCCCACGTGCGCTTGACTGAGTCGAATCTCAAAAGAATAAAACTTGGGATTGTAAACTTATTTTATTAACGCTGAACATACAAAAACTTAATTTAAAAAAACCGTCCTATTAGCCTGTTTACGCTTGAACCAAGAGTGCTACCGCGACAGCGAAGCCGCAATCGATACAACAACCAAAGAAACATAGAGAAAAAAACACCTACTTTCAACTGAATACCGTATTTGCAAATGTCGGTAGTTTTCCAGTTCTGGTAAACGGAAAACGACGAAGAAAGCACGTCGACTCGTCGACAGACCAACGTCGATTCCACCTCCATCTTGTTGACGTATGAAAATGCGTCCAATCGTTCATCACAGATACGTCGATTTTCGTTAACGGCTCGTTCCAGACCATAGAGCACCGGCTTC